TGATCACCATGGGCATTGTGTGACACAGGTGCACTCACATGCAGACAATATACTCATATACATAAAGATAATAAGTAAAAAATAAAAAAAAAACAGAAAAAAGTGTTGGGGTCCTTAAAAAGAAAAAAAGAATATCTTTTATGGTTTATATGTGTGATGGCTAGGTTTTCACACTATTTATGAGATATGACTTTCTCAAACCTGATGATGAAATTGGCATATTATTGTCTGTCAAGAATGAAAAACAGTATCTGTGGGCGGCTATGAAGCTAGAAAGGACAGTGAGTGGGTCATGGTGGGAATTAGACATCCATAATTATTTTTGTCTTTTTTGTTGTTGTTGAGACATGGTCTCCCTGTAGCCTCAGCTGGCCTAGAACTCACTATGTAGACCAGGCTGGCCTGAACTTACAAGAGATCCTCCTGCCTCTGTCTCTTGAGTGCTGGGATTGAAGGAATACACCACCATGCTCAGCAACAAAATATATATTTTATAAAAAAGAGCCCAGCGTAGTGTTGCACACTTTTAATCCCATTTAATCCTAGCACTTCAGAGGTAGAGGCAGGCAGATTTCTGTGGGTTTGAGGCCAAGATCTGAAGCTGTCTTCTGATCTCCACATATGTACTGTGGCATGTATGCACCCTCAATATATAAACGGGTACAGGCACATACAAACACAAAATTAGTAAATATTAAAAAATAAGGACACAAAGCCTGGCTTGGTTGGTCAGGTCTATAATCCCAGCTACTTGGGAGGCTGAGGCAGCAGGATAGAAAGTTCAAGGCCAGCCTTGGCTATAGAATTCCAAGGCCAGTGGGGCAATTTAGTCTATCTCTGAATCTATAATCCTAGAACTGGAGATGCTGAGGGTAAGGCAGGAAGATCATGAGTTTGAGGCCAGCCTGGGCTACATAGTAAGACCTTGTTTCAACAAGCCAACATTTCTGACACCCTTCCTCCCCCAAGAAAAATCCAAACTTTTTTAAAGCCCTTAAAACTCTTAAGACAAGAGCCTAAGGTGGTATTTGGGAATTAAGAACAAGGTAAATATGGTATGGAGGCATGACTTGTCCTTCTAGCTAGGAAGCTTGGGACAGGAAGACAGCCTGGGTGTTCAAGGCTAGCCTGGGTGACATAGCAACCCTGATTCAAAGATACAATTAAATCAAATAAAACTAATAAAATAAAGCTGGGTTTGGTGGCATATACCTGTGATCCCAATACTCAAAAGAGACTGGGGCAGGATGTCTGAGGCCAGCCTGGACTAAAGATTGAGATGCTGTCTCAAGAAACCAAAACAACTGGGTGTGGTAGCACATGCCTTTAATCCCAGCACTCCCGAGGCAGAGGTAGGTGGATCTCTGTGAGTTCAAGACCAGCCCAGTCTATGTAGTGAGTTCCAGGGTAGCTGAGGCTACAGGGAGACCCTATCTCAAAGACAAAAAAAAAAAAGCGCAAATCAATTATTGCAACTCCCTTCCCCAATACCCCCAAAACAATGAAAAGACCCTGGTATAATAAACTAAAGAGGCTGTAGGCTGGGTTGGTGTCTGTGACTTAATTGGTAAAGTGCCTGCCTTACAAGCAAGAAGACCTGAGTTTGCATCCCAGGCACGCATGGAAAGGCTGGCATGTTCGCCCACATCTGTTACCTGAGATCTGTGTGGGTAGAGATAGGTCCCTGAAGCTCACTGGTCAGCCAGCCTAGCCAATGGTGGAGCTCTGGGTCCAGTGAGAAGCCTTGTCTCAAAAAGTTAAGGTAGAAGGGCTGGAGAGATGGCTCAGTGGTTAAGAGCACTGGTTGCTCTTGGAGAGGACCCAGGTTTGGTTTCTAGCACCTACATGGTGGCTAACAGCCATCTGGAACTCTAGTTCTAGGGTATCCAATGCCCTCTTCTGAACTCTGTAGGCACTGTACAACATGAGTGTATTTACACACAGGCAAAACACTCATATACATAAAATTAAAAAAAAATTAAGGGCTAGAGAGATAGCTCAGTGGTTAAGAGCACTGGCTGTTCTTGCAGAGGATTCAGGTTGGATTGCCAGCACCCACATGGTGGCTAACAACTGTCCTTAGCTCAGGTTCTGGGAGAATCTGACACCTTCTTCTGATCTCCACGGGCACTGCATGACATGGGTGCACTTACACACATGAAAGCAATACACTCATACACATAAAATAAAATTAAAAAAAATTTTAAGGCCGGGCGTGGTGGCACATGCCTGTAGTCCCAGCACTTGGGAGGCAGAGGCTGGTGGATCTCTGTGAGTTCAAGGCCAGCCTGGTCTACATAATGAGTTCCAGGACAGCTGGGGCTACAGGGAGATCTTGCTTCAAAAAGACAAAAAAAACCATAAACAAACAAACAAAAAATTTAAGAAAAAAGCTAAGAGCATGGTAGTTGATGATACCAGATGCCAGCCTCTGTCTCCATATGCATGTATATACATGTGCACAGACATACACCATAAATATACAATACACACATATGGATGAGTTTCTAAGGCAGATGGGCATAGTGGTTCAGACCTGTAATCCTAGCTATTGGAGAGGCTGAAGTGGGAGATTTTAAAGTTTAAGGTCTGCCTGGGTAACTTAGTGAGACCCTATCAAACAAACAAAAAAGTCTAGGTGTGGCGGTAAAAGGCCAAAATGCTTTTAATCCCTGAACTCAGGAGGCAGAGACATGTGGATCTCTGTGAATTCCAGGTCAGCTTGGTCTACATAGGGAGTTCTGGGCCAGTCAGGCCTACATAATGAGACCCTGTCTCAAAAAAAAAAAAAAAAAAAAAAAAAAAAGCTGGGCATGTGGCTCATTTCTTTAATCCCCACACTCCGAAGCAGAGGCAGGTGGATGGATCACTGTGAGACTGAGGCCAGCCTGGTCTACCTAGTGAGTTCCAGGCCAGCTGGGACTACAAGGAGACCCCATCCAAAAACAAAACAAAACACAACAAAACAAAATAAAAGTTGTGAGCCAGGCCTAGAGAGATGGCTCAGTGGTAAAGAGTGCTTGCTGTTCCCTCAGAGGACCTGAGTTCAGTTCCTAGTATCCATGTATGAGTTATAGGTGGTTTTGAGCCACCCAACGTGGGTGCTGGGAACTGAATCCTGGTTCTCTATGAGACTAGCAAGTACTCTTAACCTGAACCATCTCTCTAGTTTCATGGCTGCACAAAATTCTGTGTTAAGGGTGGTGGGAGGCCACACTCGGGAGGGTTAAGTAAACAGTTACGCTCGGAGCTGAGCTTCCAACTTTTTTACTAGGATGATGGCAGGGAGCTGAATGAGGGACCCTGAGGAAGAACTGAAGGGTACTCACAGCAGGTAGGGCCCCTAACCCAAACAGCCAGATTGCCATCTGAACCTTTCAGAGGCATCCACCTGCTCATTTCCCCCAAGAAGTAGTGGGCTGGGGATGTGGCTGTTAGTAGACTGCCTTCCTAACAAGCACAAAGCCGTGGGTTTGATTCCTCAGTACTGCATAAACCTGGCATGGCTGGTGCATGCCTGTAATCCCAGCTCTTGGGAGGCAGAGGCAGGAGGATCAGAAATTTAAGGTTATCCTTGGCTATAATAGCAAGCTTGAAATGAGAAAGAAAAAAGGCGGGGGGGATCTCCTTAGGGAGTAAACTTGTGTCCCTCCCAGCCCTGAATGCCACATGTGTACTGTGACATGCATGCATGTACACACACACATACACACACATCCAAAGGTGTGGGAAACTGGGGTGACAAGACAGCATAGAGAACCATTCCAAGAGCCAAGTCCCAGGCATCCCAGAAACAGAACAGTGGAGGGAAATGGAATCAAGATTTAGTGTTTCTCTCCTCTTCCTCCCTCTCTCTTTCCATCTTTATCCCACTCCTTCCTCCATCTACCTGTTTCTCTGTCTCTCTCAGTGGGTCTTGCTTTATAGCCCAGGCAGGCCTGGAAGTTTCAGCCCTGCATTGGCCTTCCATGGAGCTGGGATTACAGGTGTGCAACATCATACCATGCTCCAAAGAAATACAGCAAGCAAATTCCTACTAGTGAGATATGTGAGTTTCAAATAGAAAAAAAAAAAAAATCCAGGACAGAGTCAAACAGTTCTGGGACTGGGGGTGTAGCTCAGTGGTAAAACTCTTGCCTAGAATTTACAAGTCAGGGGCTGAGGCATGGCTTAGTGATAGAATGACTGCCCAGAATCAACCAGTGGAAGGCAGAGGTGTGGCTCAGTGGTAGAGCCCCTGTCTAGAATCCCCCAGTAAGGGGCTAGGGTGTGGCTCAGTGGTATAACACCTGCCTAGAATCTCCCAGTGAGGGGCTGGGGTGTGGCTCAGTGGTGCAGCACCTGCCTAGAATCTCCTAGTGAGGGGCTGGGGGCATGGCTCAGAGGTAGAGCATCTGTCCAAAATCCATCAGTGACGGATTGGGGGTGTGTGGCTCAGTGGTCCTGTGTTTGCCTCACATGCACAAGGTTCTGGGCTCCATTCCCAGTATGGCAAAATAATCAGTTATTTTACCTAACAAAGATTAAAAAATGTTTCAGATATGTAACATCTCAGAATTTTACCTCTGATACTAAGATTCACTAGAAACTCCACTGACAAAAGGAAGTAAATCAAGAAGGAGACCTTGGGTGACTGGGCAAGAACCTGGTCTGTTCTTGGCAGTTGCCAGTACTGTGCCACAGCCCCTCCTGCCTTGTCTACTCAGCTGTTCTCCTTGCTAGGTCCCAATACTCCCTGCCCTGGAACTCAACCAGTAAGATACAGTCCAAAGTCCATTCAGAATATGCCCAAAATGGGAGAGATGTGGGTATGGGGAACAGAGATTGATTCACGGAGAAGTCAAGAGGAGCCAAGGGGTCAGTGGCATGCTTCTTTTGAGGGCAAAAAAATGCTGGGCACTGCAGTGACAGGTGCTGTCTTGAGGAGGGCCAAGAGGAAGGCTGATGGGTGTAGTGGACCCCAAGGAGAGCCCAGTGTCACTGTGGCCCATTGCACTCACCTGGTGAGAAGATGCCCCCTACTTCTTCATGCCAGAGGTCCACAGGGTGCTCACTCCACGAGGGCACATCAGGCTCAGTCTCGCTGTGAAGAGAGGCCTGGTCCAATGCTGTCCCATGGCCCTGAAACCATAGAGGTCACTATTTGATGTGCCTCTCCTCAGAAAAGGACCTATCTGGCATCACCCACTAGGCTCTTGGGGCAGAGATTGGCTCACATTTTGTGCAGGGCTCACCTGGGACTCCTTAGGTAGGAGAGCTGCTGCAGCCTCTTGGACAGCAGGAAGAGGCCCAGACTCCAGGAGCTCTGGGGAGAAAGAGCTGGGTCAGGTAGCTCGAGTGTTCTCAGTGGGGTGCTAGGTGCTAGGTTCTGGACATGGGGAACATGAGAGTGAACTTGGGGCTGGGAAGGGCAGAGCGGGGCAGCTGAGGGCTTAGTTGGGAGTGGGGTCAAGCAGGAACCCAGGGAAGGCCAGGGGTTGAGCTATAGCTAAGGCAAGCCCAGGTTTGGGTCCCTCATCTCTTGTGGGTCCTGAGGCAGGCTGGCCATGTGGATATGTGTGTGGGAGAGCTAGACAGGGGCCACAGTGGAATGGCAGAGTGTGGGAGGCTGGTTCAGGTACCCTACTTGGGAGATGGATGGGGAAGGTACATCCTCCATACTGAGGGATTTTTTTCTCAGCAGTACTTACAAATAAATAAGCTTCCTTCCTAGTCACCAGTGGAGACCTTCAGTGGACCTCCCTGGGGAGTGAATTCTGTATCTCCTACACAATGAAACCCCAACAGCCTGTTCCAGGGAGAGTGGTGGAAATGGGACTCTGGTGGTCAGGATGTGGCTTACAAGGGACATTGATAGTTCTGGCTGGACTGGAGGGGATGCAGGGGCTAGAGGCACACTGGAACTATTCCACATAGGAGGTCCTGATTTAGTGGAATGCAGGCTGCTCCACCTTGCCAGGCTTTATGCTCTGTCCACTTTGCCTGGCCTCACCTGGCTCCTCCATCACCTCTGTCTCTTCTTTCAGTTCAAAGTTCAGGGGCAATTCCTGCATGGTCCCAAGTAGTGTCTCAGCTCCAGGCTCTGAAGTCTGAAGCTTGATTTGAGGTATAGGCCGGAAGCTGGAGGGTTCCATCTTCTCTGATAGGACCTCCTTGCCTTGTACCTGGACTGTGACCTGGGGAGATGCCCCCACCAAGTAGAGAGTGGGGCTGGGCACAGCCCAGGATCCATGGGCACCTACTCCATGGCAGGAGGGCCCTGGTCAATACACACTGACTAGGTTCTCCAAAGTCCTACACTTCTCCCTCCCCTTCCCTGAACAGAAAGCAAAAGGATTGCTCAAAGGTCCAGGGCCTTCCTGGTACCATTTCTTCCTTTCCCCAGCTCACAGCCCACGGATCCATGTAATCCTGGGTGATGCAGGGATGGGCTCCTGTTCTGAGCCCAACAGTCCCTATTGTAGGTGGCCACTTCTTTATGATGTGTGTGTGTGTGTGTGTGTGTGTGTGTGTGTGCGCGTGTGCGTATGGGGGGAGGTGTCTGGCTGGGCCCAGCACTTCCTGGGTGAGGCAGAGTTTGACAATGCTCCAGCCCCGATCTTCTGCCTGGCTATCAACTCACCCATCTCCGAGGTCGGCCTAGCTCCCAGCGAAGTCTGTCAACCAAGGCTGCAGCCTCTTCAGGGCTGCCTGGCCACTGCCCCTGCACACGGGCCTGGATCTCAGGGGGCAGTGCACCTAGGAACTGCTCCAGCACCAGCAGCTCCAGCATCTGTTCCTTGGAGTGCACCTCCGGCTGTAGCCACTGGTGACATAGCTCTCGAAGCTGGGCCAGGGCTTCCAGAGGACCCATTGCCTCCTCGTATCGGAAGCACCGGAAACGTAGACGTGCAGCCTCTGGGCCTGGGTCCCACAAGCTGTCTTCTACCTCGTCCTCAGAGTCCTCCAGCTTCACTACGATGGGCTCATTTTCTGGGGGTGCACGGCCTGGGGAACCCAGCACAGTGGGTCTCATCAGGAGTGCCAGATCAGGTCTTTGAGTTCAGCCAGTGTCTTTCTCTAGGGAAGGAACTTCTGCAATAAGGACAGACAGTTGCAGTGAATGCTTATTGCATGCCTACTGTATACTGTGCTGTTTGATCTTCAGACCTGCTCCACGTAGAAAGTAGCCGAGGAAACAGGTACGGACAGGTTAGTCACAGCCTGAGCTGTCATTTGTTTCCCTGATCTTTCTAATTGGGCCTATGCAGTTCAAGTACACCTGTTGTCTTAATACTTTGCTGTCTCCTCCCCAGCCCCCAATACTAGGCCCCGAATGTTTTCTACCCACTCTGGGATTTGACCCTTCTCTCAGGCCCCACCAACATTCCCCTCTCAGTGTGGTCTCAAGGGATCTGCTCCACTTGACACCCCACCCACCTCCCCATCCCCGCCCCCATCCCACCTTCTGCAGTCACACCTGTGCTCCAGGTAGTACTCTTCCCCAGTAGCTGGACTATCATCACCTGAACCCAACTCATCACACCTAGCAATGATCCATCTTAGGTCCCTGACTTAGGTGGGGCTAGGAGGTGATAAGGGAACTTCCGGGGGTCGCAAAGGTCCCCAGATCACTGGACCAAGACCCGCAGGGAGGGTCCACCATCCTGATTTCGCTGTGCTTTTGTGGTCTGCAGTTTTCCCATCTGATTTCCTCTCTCTACATAATCTTAACAATTGGGATTTCGTGAAAATCTGAGTTTATTATTAGGATGGCACCAGGGTGACAAACCTCAAGGTTCCAAGTCACTCTGAAACCCTGGGAGAAACATAGAACCACTAAGCGCCTCGTTGAGGTTGCGGAAATACATTTTCCGTAAGTCTAAGCGGGCACTTCCGCTCTGGGATGCCAAGGCAGGTTCTGGCGCAGCTAGGACCAGCGCCTAGTGCCTGTTGCCATGACAATGGGCGGTGATTGACAGGTTCGCACGACAGCACAGGGCCCATCTGAAGGCAACGTCCGGATTCCAGCTCCATGCTCCCGGTCTAGCTGGGAATTGGAGTTCAAGTACAGGCCACGTCTCCTCAGAGAAGTTCCCACCCTTACCTTCCCAACCAGAGGGATGGGCCCGTACCACTGCGCATGCGCATTTCCGGTCCCTTCCTCCAGCCTAGACTACATTTCCCAGATTGTTCCGCGCGCCAACTCCAGACCTCCGGCCCTTCCCCCACCCTGGCCTCCGTTTCTACCCTTCTTCCCGTCCCCCTTGGGGATAGAGCTGGCCGCAATGATCAAGTCGCACTCCTGGCCGCCGCTTCCCACACTTCCCGTCTCGAATCCAGGCTTCAGGCCCCCGTCGACGTGCGCAAGCCTCTCGGGGGGCAACGGACGGCAGCACCGCCTTCTAAACCGCGCATGCCCCCACCACATTTTTGTCAAGTCTCTACGGACCTTCCTGGGATTTGCAGGGTTCTGCACCAATCACCACTCTCACTAGGACGCCGTCAGCCTCTCCGTCTCCATGGCAACTCCGAGTTTGGAGGGGCGCCCCCTAGGCTATCTCCGGGACCGGGGCGTTGACAGGCTCAGCCCGGTGCTTTCTGGGAATCGTAGTCTGCAGGGTTCTCTGTGTGAGCATGCACAGCATTATGGACCCGACTTTGTAGTTAAGCGTGGTGGGTGGGATCGAGCGGCTTCTTGGTAACCAGGGACCAGTTGTGCCTGGCAACGTCCAGACTAGAGTGCTTTGGAAAGGCTATTTGACCTGTGAAGTGAGGGCATGGGATGGGCACAGGGACAGAGCTACTCAGCGCGCGAGAGACAGAGACAGACACACACGGAGTCGTGGGCAGGAGGAGAGGGACCCGGAGATTGCGAGGGCAGAGGCTGGACTCCAGGAGGGACAGGGAATGTAAGAACGCACACAGGTGTGCAGGTCTGAATGAAAGGGATGTCACTCAGTAGGTTTTCAGAGTTACAACCTGAGAGATAGGCATGTCAGGAAAGCTAGCGAGAGGGAGCGAGAGCCCCAGAGAGGGATGGACATAGACGGAAAGGTAGACAGTGAGAGGGACATGGATATTCAAGGGGCAGACCCGAGTGGAAAGGTAAGAAGGAAGAAGGAGACAGTAAGATAGGATGGGGGACCAGCAAGAAGAGAGGAGAGTTGCAGGCGGGCGTTCTAGGAGAAATCTTAGGTAAAATATGACGATACATCAGAAAGGAGACAGGGAGTCCTCTGAATTTCCTAGCATTGTTTACCAAGCCCGTTTGGTAGCAGCTTTTTGCCTAGCTATGTGAAATACAGACACTGTTCTGTTGGAGATTGGCTTGCTTAAGAGACTGACAGGTTGCAAATGCATTCTGTCCAGTGCATCACCCAGTAGGTGATTAAACAGCCCTTTTATCCGACCTTTTGCTTTATTTCAGATTCACTCTTCGAACTTCCTGGAACCACGTATGTCATCTTTCCGGTTCCCTTGGTGAGGCACATACATCTTTGACACATATTCCTTGACTCATTTTTTCTTTCTTTCTTTCTTTCTTTCTTTCTTTCTTTCTTTCTTTCTTTCTTTCTTTCTTTCTTTCTTTCGTCTTTCTTTTATGATAGAGTCTCCCTGTAGCTCTAGCTGACCTGGAACTCACTATGTAGACCAGGCTGGCCTCATCTCATAAAGACCCACCTGCCTCTGCCTCCTGAGAGCTGGGATTAAAGGAATGCACAGCCATGCCTAGCATATTTCTAATTAAAATTTTTTGATTTATTTTTATTTTATGCGTAAGTATGCACCCATGCATGCAGTGACTATGGAGGCCAGAAGAGGGAGTCAGATTCCCTGGAACTGGAGTTACAGACCTTTGTTAGCCACCACTTGGGTGTTGGGAACTGAATACTGGTCCTCTGTAAGAGCAGCCAGTGCTCTTAACCACTGAGTCATTTCTCCAGCCCTTTTGGTTCCTTTGTTTTGAGTCTGGTGTAACCCAGGCTGGTCTTAAACTTTCTCTATAACCGAGGATGACCTTTGTCAAGGCAAAAGCATAACTCTCACCTCAAAGTGGATAAGAAATAGTTTATTCTGGAGCCAAATAGGAGTGACCATAGCCTAGGAACACAAATTCAGGTTACCCCAAATTCCATGTAGCTAGGTGGTAACAGTTTCATGAAGTTTTTATAGTAGCAGAACAAAGAAAAGCCATAAAGAAGACACTTTCCAAATACATTGGTGGAAACAGTAATAAGGCAGATACAAAAAAAATGTCAGCTACAGGCCTCAGATGCTCTGATGACACTCTTAGCCTTTAGATTGGTGGGAACTGTTAGTTTTGTTACTATATTCTGTGCGTCACAAGACTCGTAAGTTAGAACCAGAGGTGGGAAAACTGGCTATTCCATTGTCAATTGAGGTTTTAATCAGTTGGTCACCTTTACAGGAAGTTCAGCCCAAGATGCAGGATTTTTTCTGGAACTTTTCATGCACATCTTGAACTCCTGATCCTCATACTTTCTCTTTCTAGGTGTTTTGATTGCAGGCATGTGCCACCATGCCTGGAGAGAGAGAGAGAGAGAGAGAGAGAGAGAGAGAGACAGAGAGAGAGAGACAGAGAGAGAGACAGAGAGAGAGACAGAGAGGGAAAGGGAGGGTGAGAGAGAGGGAGGGAGGAGACTGGGTCTCACAGTGTAGGTTGGCCTGCAATTTAGTATGTAGCCCAGGCTGGACTCCAATTTTCTGTTGCAGCCTTTTTGCCTTAACATCCGAGTGCTGAGATTACAGGCGCGAACCACATCTGGGTGTGTCTTTCTAATTTTTTTCTTTTGGTCTATTTTTTGAGAGAGGATCTCGCTGTAGTTCCCCCAGCCTCTGCTTCCCAAGTTTTGGTACTAAAGACAGCCGCGTCCCCTCCTCCTGTTTCTGATTTCTTTTTTTTTTTTTGGTCTTTTTGAGACAGGGTCTCCCTGTAGCCCCAGCTGTCCTGGAACTCACTGTGTAGACCAGGCTGGCCTTGAACTCACAGAGGTCCGCCTGCCTCTGCGTCGCGTCCGGAGTGCTGGGATTAAAGGCGTGCGCCACCACACCTAGCTGTTTCTAATTTTTAAAAACCTGCAGGAACACGCTGGGACATTGTGGCTAGCAGGCAGGTCAGGTGCAGATGACCTGGGCTGGGTTCCCAGCACCCACATGGTAGCTAACAACCGTACATAATTCCAGTTCCAGGGATCTATGCGTTTAACACACATGCGGGCAAAACTTACACATGAAATTTAAAAGCAAATTTTTTAAATGTTGGGAAATGGCGCCTCCGTGTGGCCACATGTTCAGCAAAAGACTAGGGAGAAAACAGGGAGGCAAAGCCAGAAAAGGAAGGAGGGCGAGGAATCCTGGGAGACAGAAATTAGAGGCGGAGAGCCGGCTTTGGTAGAACTGGGTACCCAGCCTAACCCGACCTCGCTTCTCTGCAGCAGCGTCCTGAAGCCTCCCACTGCCTCCCAGTGGCGCTGGGTTCTGCCACCTCTGTGGTTTTGCACTTGGACCAGGGGCAGAAGGGGGACGGGGTGGCCTTTAGAGAGCCCAAGGAAGGGATGAGGGCGTGAATTAACTTGAAGTCCTGCGGGAGCAGGTAAAAACATGGAGCGCATGGGAGAACGCCCGGTCAGGGGTTGGAGGGGGGCTGCTGCTAGGTGGGGGCTTCCTCCAGGTCACCCGCCTTCCTCTTTTCTCGCTGTATCATCTTGCTGAAAGCAAAGCCAGGTCTGCGGGAGGTGTTTGTGCTAGATGCATCAGGACACAGATCCATCAGGTGTTTGTGCCAGTGTATGACAAGGAGTCCTTTTAAAAATGTTAACGTGGCTAGAGGTGGTGGCTCAAACCTTTAATCACAGGCAGCACCAAATGGACTTAGTGGGTTACTGAAAAAAAAAGAAAAAGGGGGCTGGAGAGGTGGCTCAGCGATTAAGAGCACTGGTTGCTCCTGCAAAGGACCCAGGTTTGATTCCCAAGACCCACAGGGCGGCTAACTACCCTAACAACCCTCCATAACTCCAGCTCCAAGGAAATCAGAGACCCTCTTCTAACCTCTGCAGGCATTGCAAGACACGGGTACACTTACATACATTCAGGCATTACACTCCATATAAAAAAAGGGAGCCAGGTGTGGTGGTGCACGCCTTTAATCCTAGCACCTGTGAGACAGAGGTAGGCGGATCTCTGTGAGTTCGAGGCTAGTCTGCCCTACATAGCGAGCTAGGCCAGTAAGGGAGGGCTACGTGATACCTTGTCTCAAAAATCAAAACAAAGAAATACCCACAAAAACACCCCCCAAAAGAAAAGAATGCTAAGGTGGGTGGCAAATAGCTCTTTGGATAAAGGCACTTGCTGCCAAGCCTGATGATCTGAGTTCGATCCCCAGGACCCATATGGTGGAAGAAGAGAAACAGTTTGCATAGATTGGTCCTCTGATTTCCGAAGGCACTGTGGCGTTCATGCCACATCCTCAACCAACCAACCAACCAATCAATCAATCAATCAATCAATCAATTAATCAATCATAAAAATTAAAAAAATAGAAAGCTAGCTGGGCTTGGTGGTGCACGCCTTTAATCCCAGCACTCAGGAGGCAGAGGCAGGCGGATCTCTGTGAGTTCAAGGCCAGTCTGGTCTATGTAGTGAGTTCCAGGACAGCTGGGGCTACAGGGAGACCCTGGTCACTGTGACTCAGCCCTGTTATCCTAGAACTTGGGAGCCTGAGGCCTCAGGAGGAATCATGTGGTTTCTGACCAGCTGTGCTACACAGTAAGACCCTGTCTCAGAAACCAGATGGGTGTGTGGATGACTCAGCTGGTAAAGGGGCTGCTGTAAAATCTGGGTATCTGAATTTGATCCCGGGGACCTACATGGTTGGAGAACAGACTCCAAAAGTTGTCCTTTGACCTCCACACCTTCACATCCCACAAAATAAATGTATAAAAATGTAATAAAAATTAAAATAAGCAAAAATTCTGTTTAAAGGTTATATGTTATTTATTTTTGTGTATGTATGTGCTCAGAGGTCAGAGAACAACTTTTGAAAGTTAGTTCTTTCAACCACGTGAGGCCCTGGGATTGAACTCAGGTTGTCAGGCTTGTTGAGCAGTGCCTTTACCCACTGAGCCATCTCAATCACCCAAATTGTAATGTTTTGATCAGGTATTAGGCTCACATTGTTCAGAATGCAAACAGGCAAGGTGAGACACTGCTTCTCACCACT